TGACCTTTTTTCCTTGCATGCAAGAAAAGGCCAAAATGTATTAAGCTGTAATACATCCCATATGAGTCCGCGTGTTAAACTGTGACGCAGCAATTATTCACACAATTGACTATCTGATCGCTTCATGTTTAGCGAAGAAGTATAATCGCACCGGCAAGCCAGGCATTTCGCTACCTGGGTTCTTAGTTAAAACGAACTTACGGCTTTGAGAGGAGAGAGATCGCACATAACGACTTTAACTTTGAAGTTTGAGAGTTCGTCTATATTCGCCTCTCCTTCTTCCTCTTCTTCGCCATAATCGTAATCAGCAGTGTCATTATCTTGTTCTGATCCGTTGGTGTCCTCATCGGTTTTCTGTGGCGCTTTAGACGATCCTTCGTCTTTTGTCAATAATTCTTGTGCCCCATCTTCAGTAGGTTTTGGTGTGCTCTCTTCTAAACAAAAAAGGGATGTTGAAGGACGACAGCACAGAATGGTTCTCGTCATGCACACGAAAAAATGCCAAGGCACAACTTGAAATCCCTCCACAGAAAATGCCATGTCTGTTAACAGAGCACAATCACTCGGACTATGGCCGGAACTTTGTACTTTACAATGTTGTGCGGAACCACTAAATTAGTTTTGACGGCATTTGCTCATTTCACAGAGGGACCGGAATAAGGTTAATGTAAATTATTTTAAAACTATTTTAGTTTTACAACGACAGTGTAAAGCTAATAAAACTAACTGTTTGTATCGGTATTCTTGTACTCCATCGCAGGACACTCCTGTCGCACTGCTCGAGAGAATGCATCGATAAATTCATCAGCAAGTTTGGAATCTTTGAATTTCGCAACAAAGCATTCGTTCACGCCTTCTTTTTCTTCAGAATAGTCCTGTACAGACATTACTTTCAATCAGCAAAAATGATAAGAAATGGATTCCCATCGAAAATGTCCCATCTGTGATCAACTTAATCGCATATCAAATAATGCAAAAAATAAGAAAGGAAGTACAAGTAAAAGACATTCCACGTGAAATACGCGTCCTAATCTCCGTTCTATAGGCCCTACATGAGTTTCGAAATTCAAGCATGTTTTACATTAGAGTGTTGGCAGCCTTCCCAGCATGCCCTTGCAAACACATAGATATCTCTGGAAAATCCTCTATGATTGGCATTTCTCCAGCGCATTTCCTACAGCTGGTGTGTAGAAGGTGCCAGATCTTACATACTTGTGCAGAGGAAGTATAAAACGGTGAGTTGCAGATCAAACAAAAGTGAAAGAGATAAAGCAATAAAACCGAACGTACTGAGAGGCTAACATTCAAAGCCGCAGCGATGGAAACAGAGCATTACCTTGCACATCCACATGCATGCGTTATCCGTATTTGGTTTCTTACTGATTTTCATGCCACCAATGATAGGTGCATTGGCACATACTTTGAATACTTGGTCTCGACGCATCACAACACGATATCGCTTTGTTTCCGGATTAAAAAGCACCTGCAATGCAAACAAAATTATGTCACCGAATAAATGTAAATCACAAAACAAAAGCGAAATTTTTAATGAAAAGACTCCAAATCCAAAAGGAATCGAAAAAAATTAAATACCGCGAAGAAGCACAAAAATTAGACTCCTCTTCGATTTATGACGTAAAAAAATATCGACTGAGACAAATACCCTGCAAAATAAGAAACCTTGATATCACCAATGCCACGTTCCTTGTACTCCCCCGTTTGAGCAACATAACGATAAAGCTTGGATCGGGCTTTGAACATCGTCTGAAAGCAAAATACGGAGTGATCAGAAAGCGCTGAGAAAAGATCCGAGTACGGTGCAGCTAGCCAAAGTAAATTTCAAAGAAAGAAATGTGAAGGTGCTGTTGACCTGCTCGCCTTCCTCACCAGTCTTCACTTCAACAAGCGAGGGCAGTGGGATCACCGGTTTAA